ATGTGTAATTTTGTAGCTAATTACTCCCAATGCATTTCCTGGTGGCCTGGGAACCTCTCATTGACCATCTGCACTCAGTTATTTACCTGCTCAGTTTTTCATAATCTCTTAATAAATCATTCCTGGATTTGCAAAAGGCTCATCAGTCATTGAGTTTCCTTTTTTTGGCACGTCTTTTGCTTTGTGTCAATTTGGCCAAGAAATATTTATTGAATAAGAAGCTCTGTAAGGCTCAAGCACTGTTTCATTGTTATACTAAATTATCCCCTAATACAAGTTAGTTAAACTGAAAGAGGGGAGATTTAGATTAGATCACAGAAAGAAATTCTCTGCTGTGGTGAGAGGGTGGTGAGAGCCTGGCCCAGGTTGCCCAGAGAAGCTGTGGCTGCCCCATCCCTGGAGGGGTTCAAGGGCAGGTTGGAGGGGGCTTGGAGCAACCTGGTCTGGTGGGAGTTGTCCCTGCCCAGGGCAGGGGGTAGAACTGGATGCAGTCCCACAAGCCTCTGAAACCTTTCCCCACCTTCAAACTGAGGGTTGACCCTGCTGTGCCCTGGGGAAACCAGCCCCAGGGTGGGTGATGTTCACAACATCTGCTCTTCGGTCATACGCATCCCCCAAGGGTCTTCAGAGAAACCCTCATCCCTTCCCCAGCAGAGATGACGAGGACATCCCTGCTGCTGGAGCAAAACCAGCTCACAGTTGTCAGTTCCACTGAAGCCAACCTGATGCAGGAGGGTGACTGTTGGGGGAAAAAAAAAAATAAATTAAAAAGAAGTATTGGCTTGTGTTTAGGGAGCAAATGGTTAATCTTCTCCTTTGAAGATGACACATTTCAATCCATGAGGCTGCCATAACCCATGGGCACTTTGTCCTGGGCTTCCTGCAGAGAGGCTTAGCTACATGGAAGCACCCTTGAAACTGGACACATCTGAATGAGGTTTTTTTTTTTCTGATGTGAAGCTTTTAGCTGTTTGTATGTGTGGAAAACAGATGAGAAGCAAGGGATCATTTCATTTAGATAGAAATTTTTATTAAGAAAATTTTAAGTGCATACACATTTATGGGAGAACTTACAATGATATAAAAGTGTTTCATTTCAAAATATTCTATGAAAGGAGTAATTTCAAAAGCATAATATAACTCCTCCATAAAAGCTGCCTTGCAGGAACACAAATACAAAAACCTTTTTCACATTATTTGGGAAGATATTTCTTTTTACTCAATAAAAATATAAAGTACAGTATTTACCACATTCTGACAATACTGAGTTCTTAAGGAGTGGAAGATGGGAGGTTCATGCAGCCCTTTCACGATGATACGTTTTCCTTCTCTGTGGCCACCAGAGTTTCATGTTTGCAGACAAGCCTTGTCTTGGTGGGATGTTGGTAAACAAAAAAAAATATCAGGTTTTAGGTGGTGAGTTCTCAGAAACCTCTGGTTACTACAAATCACATCACTCCAAACAAGTTGCCAGAGAAAAGGAGGACCCTCTAGATGCTAAGAAAGGGAAAATAGCAACAAAAACTTCTATAGGAACTGCATTTTCAGTGAAATGTGTATATTTAACTTCGAATATAGCCTTCATTGCAAAATGAGCAGTCGCCTTTGCTCAAACACCTCAGTTAAAAACACATCAGAAAGTCACCCTTCATCCTTCCTCAGGCAGAATTCAGATAGGATATTCATACATACAAGTATAAAGACAGCATAAATAAAAAATTGGCACAGCAATAAATACCATCTATTCTTTAAAAAAAAAAAGAAGAAAAAAATAAAATCCAACCTTAGGCTTCAACAGCTGCACTTTGAAAACACCACAGGTGACCATTTCACATTTAGGGAAGCTGCTTTTTCAGCACCAGTTCAGTGTTACCTCTTTTCCCTCCTCCTCCGCAGGTGTGGTCCCTACATCACTCCCATCTCTCCAGGCTTCCTCTCCCTGATTTGGTCTTTGGTCAAGAGTTAAAAGGCAGAAAGGAAAAATCAAACACTCTCCTGGAGGGGGTTTCTGCTCGGTGTGCAGCGGAGGAGCGGTGGGTGATGCACAGGATGCTGCAGTGATTGATTTCTGTAACACGAGGGGCAGGGATGCTCTCCCTGCTGCATCAGGCAAATAACACCAGGCAGAGAGCAACGCTTCCCACTCAAGGTTGACATTTTGGTCTCAAGCAAGAGAAAGCTTTTATCAGGTTCTCACTCAAGAGAAAGAGTTACTCATGACCATGACATTCACCCTGCGCTCAGCCTTGCCCAGGCAAGGGAGGGACACGGTGCTGGCCCCCCCAGAGCAACCCCTGCCCCGAGTGGTCTCAGCTACTTGAGTAGTGAATTGTCACCAACACAGCAATGTCAGGGCCTGAGTCTCAATAATTGCCAGGGGCAGGTGGCCCACAAGGCACCCAGAGAATCACCAGCAGGCTGTAGGTGTTCCCCCAGCCTTGCAGGGAGCCCCTTCCCTTCCTGCTGCAACTCGTGGATTTCTCCCAGAAGCAAATGCCCTTCCTTTAGCACGCTCTACCCCTGCAACTCTCACTAGTTTGCCCTCATGCTGTGGTTTCACTGCAAAGCCTACATCTTCCCTAATAAAAAAATATCTTTTTGGCCCCTATCATCAATAGCAAGATATGCTGTTGAATCAAAACCAGAGGATTATTTAACTCTCTGTTTACTCCAACAGGAACGGATCAGAGAAGCTGTCCTTCGATGGGGAGCGTGTGTGAAGGATGCACCTTCCCTGGTGAGAAGGACAAGCTCCATATCTGTGTCAATATTAATTGTAAATTAATTGTAATTGTGCCAAAACCAAGATTCTTCCACACTTTCCCCCAAGTCACTCTTGGCTTTGACACTCAGGTGGTGTCTTCTGGCAAACCACTCTGCATGTGTGAGGACAGGAGATGGATCCTAGGATATAAAGTACTGTCCAGAGAAGACATATGAAACTAGTTTTCTTATAAAAGTTCTTTCTGTCTTTACCGTCACCACCAGAGGATCTGATCCTGCTCACACTGAACCCAACACCCCAACTCTCACCAAGTACAGTGGTACCAGACCTTTCAAAAATGGAGACACAATATATTTAAAGCACCAGGTTGGTAACAACAACAACAGAAGGAATGTCAAAATCACAGACACACATACATTTTAGGCACAGCAGTTGGTTTCCACTTTAAAGCAGATGAGGTGATGTGGTCCCAGCTGAAGCACTCTCTGTAATAACATTGTTTTGCAGAGAGGAAAATACTTATAAGGTTTTTTACCTGAATCCACACAGAAATATGGTAATCCCTGGCTAGTCAAAGCGCCTCTTTGGCACTAAAGGATGATGACCACAAAAAGGAGTGCTCAGTGAAACACCCCTCTGGATGTCCCCGACACAGGCTGCAGGGAAGAGGGCAGATGCTTTTTGAAGCAACCCGCTCAAAAAACCAAAATACAATCTTACGACATATTTTTGTTAACAATAGACACACAGATACATACAAACACAAGCGTTGTGCTGCACAAACGTGCTTCCCCCCTGCACCCCAGCTTAATGTGATTATCTCAGTGTCTTTCCATACACTTCATAGCAAAGATACTGCATCTACTGGTGGGAATCGGGAGAAAAAAATTTCTGGCTGAGAGAGGGGATTGGTGCAAGAAGTGGCACCCCTCTCCAGGTGGAAGGAAATTCCAGAGGCTTTCCTGTTCACCAGCAAACAGGGACGTGGCCGCTGGTGAACAATGAGTGTTGGCCTTCACTTCCACACCCCAGAAACACCACTCCTTCCACAAACTGGGCAGACCTTTTCTTGCCCCAGGCATTTCTTTTCTCCAAAGATATGGCCAGACATCCTCTTCTAGGTAGCTCCAGAGCCATCAAAGTTGTTACTGCCCTCAGGTAGGTGTAACTGTTCAGTAGATGAGGCTACGGCATCGTTGGTGAAGGGTCCCGTGAATGCATCTCCACCTACTTCAGTGCAAAGAGAGCCAGGGGAGCTGAAGCCACCTCCTGTGGAAGGGTGGGAAGAGACACCCGGTGCGTGGCAGCGTATCTGACTCCTCCAGCAACTTGCAACACCATCACCTGGTTAGACCTTTAACAACCCATTGCTTTTTGTGCTAAAAATCCGTCATCAGAAACGCAGGAACATAGGAAATGCCAGGTGACATCAGATCAGTGTTGTGGCTCCTAAACACACACAATGACTCCAAACCAAGGACCAGCACCTTGCAATACCAGCTGTGCATTGACACAGCTGCTCAGAGCTGTCAGCAAGGTCTCTGATCTTCAGAGAAGGGCTTTAGCCCCGTGGCCCTGAGTTTAATCCCTCACCCCAAACACCTATAAATGACACCCGTGGCAACACTCTTCACTTTTGTCATGTCTGATGCCTTTTAGCCTTCCTATGTTCTTGGCCTCAATGACTTCTGGAGGCAAGGAGGTCCTCCACTACCTACACAACATCATTGCACTGTACAGTCCATGTCCTTCTAGGTTTAAAACTCCAGGAGACTTGCATGAACCAAAAGAAAGTTAAATAAAGCCAGACCTCTACATAGCAAAGGAAATAAAATATTATATAATAACATAAGGTTAGTTTAAATTCATATCCGCCCTCAGTGCTAGGTAATAAACCAACCTGTATAAAAACATATTTTTCTCAAATAGTTACATCTTACTATATAAAAATAGCACTGTGAAAGCAAGCCAATCTATCTGTGCAAAAAAAAAAAAAGAAACCCCACCAGAAAAAGGCTCTAGGGAAGTAAGGGAAGCTCAGCAGTTTTCTCCAGAACACCAAAACTAACACTTCTGCAATATCCTCATACATTTTATTCTTTACCTGCCGTGGCTGGTTGGCTGTTTCACACAGTAATTATTTTCACTATGGAAAAGAATTGCTCCTAGCTGTGTGCCATGTGTTCTGTTTTTTTGAATGTTCCTGGCATTGTCCCCTGGCCTATCATTATTAAATTCATGTTCCATTAATTTTACTCATCTTCCTACTAGCCAAGAAACCTTCAGCACCCACAGAAGAATTAGAAGATGCCAGCCTGCCAGCATCTGAAGACAGTCCACAAGCCTTACTTGTATCTGAATCCACAGATTCCCCCCAGAAACAGACAGAAAGAAACCCAGCACAGCTCCCCAGCCCTCCGCTGCTCCCAGCTCCACCACCTAAGGCATTCTCCAAAATCACAAAGAGCGTAACAGGTCAGTCATGACTGGTCAGTAAAGACTTTTCCATCCTTTGCATGTTGTTCGCCTCCACAGCACTGTATATAATTCTTTTTTCTTACATCCTTTGTTAAGCCTATTGCCATAAACTGCTGTGAATCAGGGTAGTTACAATGAGTGAAGAGGATGCTAATGATTTCCATAAACTGAGCGGTCTGGTTGCCTGATAACAACGCACTGATCTTTGTACTTCACATATTTATCTGAATCTCTCAGGGGATTATTTGTTGTGAGTCTATTGCACTAAACACATGTAAAAGAAATCAAACCAACCGCAAACGTCTGCTGAATCAGATGCTCCTATCAATATGTCATAAAACACAAGGAAGATTTAAATGTTTTCATTACCTAGACTCCCGCCAGAGAACAGTACAACCAGGCTGAAGTCCATAGGTTCTGTGGAGGTTTCTGTCTGAAGGGTTTGCTCTCTAGAGAAGGTGTAACAGAGAGCTATGAACCTGGTCTGGTTACACAGAACACACATACGTGATCCACCTGGCTCCGACACCGCAACCCTCCCTGCCAGACTTCACTGAATGTTTCAAGAGCAATTCCCCTGGGCCGGATTTTCTAATGTATTGCCAATGTTGTTACATTTTCCAACATTCTGGCATTGCAGAAAGGGTGTTAAAGTGAATATGATTTTAGTTTGTTCTGATTTTAGGGCCCTACATATGGTAAAAGCAGTTTAAAGGGCCTTATTGCAAATTAGAATCAAGTCCTGACATCCAAATGTCAGACCAGTTGGATATTTAGACTTTTAAATGACAGCCATTATCTCAGCCCTGATTTGCATCCACACTCATCTACTGGCACAAGAACAGGGTTTTCAAAGTCACCAGGAAGCAAAATACCAGAAGGCATTGTGATCTGACCATTGGGTTTCATAGAAAACATTGGGGTTTTCAGTCCTTTTGAGGAAAAGTACAAGTATTTGTTTCCCATGGAAAATATCCATATTTTGCCCATGCTTAAAAGCTGTAAGAGTTTAAGTGGGAGCTGGATTCAAAATGGTATCATAATGCTTCTTGGGCACTGCTGTACAGATTGCCTCAACATTCTCTGCTGTGAGTCAGGCTCTACCCTGCCTCTTCCACCTTCCAACACAAACAGGCACAACCAGGACAGCCCTCGGGCCGCTGAGAAGGCCATGCTCTGGGGAGATGTAGGCTACTTGGAAAACCTGACCCACAGAGGGTAACAGATCACAGCTCCACCAGGCATATCCCAGCTTTTTGAGTCTAGATATTTTGCTGCTTAACAAAGTATTTCCTCTGACATCCAAGATACTTTGAGTTTTGTTATTCCATTCTCATCTAAATTTTCCATAAACAACAACTCTTAGTTTTCTCAGTGTCTCCAGTATCTATAGACCCTTTATCAATAGTGATAATACATCTGTTTGTTTTTGTTTGGATGCAGAGGCAGTGGTAAGTTAAGACTAAACAAATACTGTCAATGAGAAAAAGGGAATACAAATGTATGGGGAGAGAGAAACAAAGAGCAATTATGAAAGAAAAGGGAGATGCAGAGGTTGAAAAGCTCTTTTGTCTTTAGTTTTTTCCCCCTTAACAATGTTAGAGATGCTGTTAGCAGAGGAGTGAGGAATAAGCCAAGCACCAATTAATCACAGAGAGAGGGGGAACAGGGCAAGGTGCCAAGACATCACTTTGCAAGATTATTCACAGAACAACTGTCATTAGGACAAATAAGGTGTGATCTAAGGAAACTCTCAACTCTCGATATTGGCCCAAGCTGCAGTGAGGACAGAAGTGGCCCTTGACCTGTTCCAGGAACAAGCAGGTATAGAGATAACAGTCTCCTCCCCTCCTGCTTTAGGGTTGAGCAGAACCCAGAGTTCTTCCTCTGAGAAAACATGGACACCCTCTCTCCATGCAGTGGTATAAAGTAGCTCAAGAGGTGGTTTTTTTCATCGCCTCAGGCAATGATTCAATGGGCAATGATCAGTCATAAATGCACTCTGTGCATCTCCGCAGTAGCACATAATCAAAATCCCCTCGAGTGCTGGAAAGACATCTTTGCTCAGCAGAGGTTGGCTGGCCCCTGGGCACAGCACCCATCCTGATCAGCTCAGGAGGAGCTCGGGGTGGAAAGCGTCTCATTGCCAAGACATTGCTCACTGGGCACCTACACACTTGAAGAAATGTCCTCGTGCTTTCAGACATTTTCAGATTTCAGAGAGTATAACTTTTGGACAAGCTTGATCCCTGTTGTCTGGATGCAGAGAGAATTGAATGAAGCTCTGGCCATTGGTCAGGGTTCTGGGTTTCAAAGGAGACAAATGTGAAAAAATGCCTTCCAGAAATTAAGGAAATAGTAAGTTAGATCTTTCCTGGAATAACAGAGAAGATTGTAATAGGGATGTAAGTCTCCTCATTGAAGGAGAAATGTGAAAAAGAGTCCAGGCTTTAGTGTTGCTACTCTTAAAAATTTTTTCAATGTTCGATTTTGGTTATGGCTACAGGAGCTCCCCTTCCCACTTCTGCTTTTGCTCTTGCCCTCAAAAATCCTGCTCTCCAGACACCCAGCTCTGTTTCCAGCACTCAGAGTCCCCACCAGATTTCCAGCAGTGAACATGGACCAGTGTAGTTGGTAACTGTTATGCAGGATGCTGGGGCTGAGAGGAAATATTTGGTAACTGAAGTTAATAAGCAAACCTATTTTCATCCTCTCCAGTTTTCTAGTCAGTTACCCTGCTTAAGGATAACCAAGCCCTTTTTATGGGGGTATTTCAGGATACTCCTGGCCTGAGCAGAAGCTTTTCTCTGCTAGGAACTGAAGGATTTCTCTCCTAAGTAAGTGAGAAAAGGAAAATGATCTGTGAAAATAAGTTTGTACAAAAGCTGTACAAGCTGGGTCAGTTTAAATTCCTATTTAAAACACTAGGTGGCAACAAGAGAAAAGAAATACCCTTCTGTATGAAGCACTTGCATTGCCTTTTTACACCAGACTGAGCTATTGGTGTAAACACCACCATATGCCAGAGGCTTGGGATGGAGAGAAAAGGAAAGCGGAAAGGGGAAGAGAACTGCAGAAGAGAAAAACTCATCCGCATCTTTTTCAGGGCAGATGTTCAGATATCTTAAGAGTGTCAAACTATTACATTTACAACCAGGGAAATGGCCACTGTGTTTTGGACTCAGGTGCTGGGGAAATGTATATATCAAAGTCTAATTTCCAATAAAATGCTTACACAGCATAAAAAATATCTGAATCTGTGGGTAAAAAAGATTAGATCGCCCCACCTTTTTCCCTTCTTAGCGCTCAATTCCATATCTTTCATTTGGATTTCGTTTGGCAAGTCTTGTTATGCGAACATTATCCTCATATTATAATGATTTTGGCATTTCCTCAACTGGCATATGAAAGACAGAGGTCTAAGCTGTGCAGCAATCACAGAGGAGCAGATAATGATACTGGTACATTCTGTCCTGACTGAGAACCACAATACATAAATTTTAATACAGTCTGCCAGAGTCCAGCAGAGAAAGTGCTAGATTGGGAAGCCACCGCAGTACAAGCATCGGCGGTTGGGAGGAACAGTAGTGGCAACCCAGAATATAGCGGTGGGCTGGGAAAAAGGAGAATCTGGTACTGCGGGGAAAAGGGGAATGGGGGAGGCATCTATATTTCTAGATCAAAGATCTGGATCTGTGTAGTATAAGGCTTTTGAATTCAGGCAGTTACTCAGTTTAACCAGTCACCTCCTAGCAAGAACAAAACACCACCATTTTTCTCTCTTCAACACAACAAATTAATTGCACACTCTGTGTGCAAAAACCAAAGGCATTGCACAACCTCTCACCCTCGGTGTTTTGACAGCAGGAAGCGAAATAGATGACACAGCCATGAAATCTCCTCCGTCCACCATCCTGAAGAATTACGTCATTGTTGGTTCCTCCCAAATCTCAGGACAAGCTGCCCTCTTCCATCCCTCTGGCCAGAAAAGTTCCGATCCCCACGTCAGGGGACAGGTAACAACGCCAACTGGTTCCCCTCACCTGGCTGCCGTCCACCTGCCTTTACCTCCCAGCAGAGTCATTGAAGAACTTCACAGGGCTCTGGCCACCAAACACCGGCAGGACAGGTACGTACAGCCTCCTGGCACTATGGGTGCATAGAATCATAGAATCATCTAGGTTGGAAGGGACCTTCAAGATCATCTAGTCCAACCATCAACCTAACTCTGACAAAAAACCCATCACTAAACCATGTCCCCCAGCACCATGTCAACCCGGCTTTTGAACACCTCCAGGGATGGTGCCTCAACCACTTCCCTGCACGAGGACACTCATTCCACTAAATAATTTCTCTTGGTAAACCTCCCTAATTTGTTATTGGAACTTTATCTACTTGTACAGCTTGGGGTTGCCCTCCTCTTGATGCACTACTTTGAACTTCCATCCCTGGTTAAAGTGCTTAATTTGGCAGTTACTTCAAAGTTTTCCCTTTATAAGAAGGCTAATGTGACATGGAAGTAGGTTTTCAAACAGGTAGAATCATTTGATAATCCTCGACCTATTGCAAAAGAAAATTTGCTGACAAAAGAAAATTTACTGACAAAATCCCAAGTCAGAGTACCTAAAGCAAATCCTGCTCCAAATATCAGTACTGTACATATGAGCAACGCTACTATTTCAGCGTATGTCTCCTGGCTTATACACGAGCATATACGGGATCCATTTTTAATACAAATGCCTGTGTGGAAGTACACTGGGTACTTTCTCTGCTTTTTATTATAAGCCCTCCTGGGAATTGGAGGAGGACAGAGATAACCTTTTCCATCAGAGAGCTTTGGAGTTAAGTTGGTAACATTTCTCAATTCCATAGCCGCTATTCTCATGGGGAATAGATTCATAGAATATTATTTCCAGGCCCCGTTAAACCTTTGTCATGATCATAAAGTATCAGAATGGAAATATTTCATGCCATGTATGTTTTATATTAGAAGGACGTGCTGTGTGGGGTTTTTTTAATCAGCACGGTATAGCATGTGGCTATATATCAAAGAAATACATTAGCCACTACCCTTCCATACCTTATTTTTATGACAGATAGGAAAGTAGATCCATGTTAGCCATTCTCAACACAGTCTTGAGAATGCCATCCCACGTCCTCCCATGTTGAACTCTTTGCCCTGGCCTTTATAAGCTACGGGATGTTCTGCTCATCCTCATTTAATGATAAGTTCCTCCCGTGGCAATAAAAGAGTCTTTTGTAAAAACTGTGCTGTACACCTTCCACCCACAGCTTCCATGGAAGAGAAAGCAAAGGCTCTCCAAAAAAACGAGTGGATGTCCGTCCACCCAGAACATCGAGCATCGAGCGCAACAAGGAAAAGGAGAACTCGCTGAGTTACAGCAGTGATTCAGAAAATAAGCGGAACTCAGTTAAAGAGTCGGATGAGAACAAAGAAAACATGATCATGAACTCAGAACTCAAGGAAGACTCTGTTTTTTATCAGGATGAGGAAGTTTTGAATGACTCCATTATTTCTGGTAAGGAAAGTCACTTATTATAAAGATATATTATCATAGCAGAACAGAATGCTCTAAACAAGGCAGCACGCAACAGAAAATACTGAGCAGTATAAATCCCTCTGTTGTAACATCAGCTTTTTCAAGGAATCTTGGTGAAAAGCTAAAGGTAAATTTGAGTCATAGTGACTTGTGATGGTGTTTGTGTTGGTAGATACTGCACACTAAGATGATGTTTAGACTTATCTAAGTCAATGTATTCGTATTAGCTTTACCCTTGCAGCTGCTGACATACCCTTTGTACTCTGGGTCTGACCGGTAGCATGTGCACACACCTCTCACTGTCACCGAAAAGTGGGAGAGACCAATGAATCTAGGAAGGATCTAGGAACATCCAGAGAAAATATTTTAAAGAAGAAAGTTTCTTCTCCATTTGGTCCATTTTACCCTTTCTTGAGACATATGGGTAACACATTGTAAAATCCTGAGCAATTATTTGAGAGGGCTTTGGCACAATAATCATCTCTTATTTTTAGGAATAATTTTCCCTCATTTCTTTCTTTGTAGCTACACAGCCTTCTTCCTCGTAATTAATTTCTCTCTCTCTCTGGCTGAATGCCAAAGACTCTTCACACCTAAACTTCAGTCTCTGCACTGAGAAGCCTGTTCCATACTCCCCTAAAACTTAGCCATCATAAGACTTGAGCTTTATGCACAGGATTCTTTTAGATGGCTGGAGATCACTGTGGACTGCCTTGTTCTTGCAGGTTGTAAATGCACATTTGCAAAAGACCTAATTTCTTGTACAAGCCTGGTGCTTGTTCTGCTGGCATTCAGGCACATCCTAGGGGCATAACAAAAACCCAGGCCGTGCAGAGGTCCAGCTGTTTGGTGTCTAAGGAGGCTGCCACGGACCATGGAGGGGTACATGGCCAGTGGAGCAACACAGTCACTTAAACCACACAAGTCCTGGTGTGGGGTGGTAGTACTGCAGCCCCGGAGATGTGACTGCTGCCCATCTACTCAGTGCAAGCTGGGACATAAGGCATTTCTGGTCTTGACAGTGGGTGGCACTGCCTGTGCCAGCATTCACTCTACTGCTTCCACTCACATTTCAGAGAGCCATGAGAGATACAGTACTGACATGGACAGGGATAGCACCGGAGTAATTCCCTGAAAAGCTCCAGACTCCTTCTAGCTTAAAAAAATCTGGGCTGGTTTGCAAGTCAGGAGGTAAAACTATCCGTTAATCCAAAGCTGCTTTACAATTAGTGTAGTGCCTTAGCACACCACCAGCCTTGCCATTGGCACTGCCATGCAGAACAGTGCATCAGTGCCACAGCCCCATGGCTACGGGGAGCTTGGGACAGGTCACAGATAACTCTGGAAAAAGTGAAAAACTGTACCTTGACTTTCCATTAGCACTCTACTCAATAAATCATTCTTTTGCCTAAAAGCACAAGGCAAGAGAGAAGCCTTGTGCGTCGTTTTAAAAAAATAACAAACTAGCATGTAGCCCACAATTGATAACCTGTGCAAGCAAGGTCTCTCCATCAGCATGCAGCACTGGGGTTTGCCTGCTGCTTGATAGAAAGAACAGTAAACACACAGGAAATTAAATGTCATGATTCAACTGAATCAAAACAGGAACTTTAGTCAGGAACCTGCAGACCAAGCATGAAAGGGGTGTGAATTTTCAAAGCATTATTGTTGACCTAGCTGAGTGGCCATAACTCATGAAACAAGCCACAGCCAAGATCCTGCCTAAGATAGCTTGGTCATGGGACAGCCCGGCACTGAACGTGCCTTATTGACCAGGAAAAATAACCCTTATGAAGACAATACTGATATAAGGGTATTTGCAGGTTCACTTTCCACTGAGATAGTGATCAGGAAGAAACTTGCCTCAGGGTACTGAAAAGGGATGTGGTGAAAACTAGTTTAGGGGTTTATTTCCTCTTTGTTCTCAGATTTTATTCATTTGTTTATTAATTCTGAAACATCAGATATGCAGCAGGTGGAATAACAGAACTGGCCATCAATGGGGCCACTCAAGATGAAAACAGATGAACTAATTACAGAGTGTTTCCCAGCATGTCTCCCTGAAGGGGGTAACATCATCTCCCCCTTTTCACTTTGTTGGGCAGGTATTATTATTCAGGAATTAACCCAACTGGTGAGGCATGGGGAATGGCTCCTTAGACTAGCAGATCAGCGTAATCCAGATCTCTTGCATTTTTATTTGGTGAAATACCCTAAAGATTAATCAGTGCACAGTGCATATGGACCATGGGAGTGGCTATAGCATAAGCCTTTTAGAAATCCAGACATCTGGATGAAGTGAGCACAGCTTATCCTGAGTGGGTTATACATAACAAAACAGCAAAAAAAACCAAACAACAAAACAGCAAAAAAAACCAAACAACAAAACAGCAAAAAACCCAAACAACAGCAATAAAAAATCCCACCACAAAAAGCCACCCCACCCCACCTCCCCCAATCTTCCACGCATTGGGATATTTTGCTGCACAATCTACCCAGGAAGTTTCAGGACTGAGCACTGCTACTAATCATAGAATCACAGAATGGTTTGGGTTGGAAGGGACCTTAAAGCCCATCCAGTCTCACCCCCTGTCACAGACAGGGACATCTCCCACCAGACCAGGTTGCTCCAAGCCCCATCCAGCCTGGCCTTGAACCCCTCCAGGGATGGGGCAGCCACAGCTTCTCTGGGCAACCTGGGCCAGGCTCTCACCACCCTCACAGCAAAGAAGTTCTTCCTAATATCTCATCTAAATCTCCCCTCTTTCAATTTAAAACCATTGCCCCTCATCTAATCACTCCCCTCCCTGATCCAGAGTCCCTCCCCATCTCTCCTGGAGCCCTTTAGGGACTGGAAGGGGCTCTAAGGTCTCCCCAGAGTCTTCTCTTCTCCAGGCTGAACAACCCAAACTCTCTCAGCCTGTCCTCCCAGTAGAGAGGCTCCAGCCCTCCCAGCATCTCTGTGGCCTCCTCTGGCCCCATCCCAACAGGTCCATGTCCTTCCTGTGCTGAGGACTCCAGAGCTGGACACAGTGCTCCAGGTGGGGTCTCACCAGAGGGGAGCAGAGGGGTTGAATCCCCCCCCTCGTCCTGCTGACCACTGCTGCAATGGAGCGTGGCAGCACACATCTGACCCACAGGTAACAGGGACATCTCTCTGTTTGGGAAACAGAGATTCCATCTCTAATGATTTGGTTTGTTACTCATGATGGTGTATTAGAATGGGTATTGTCTCAGCCTTCTCTTCGTTTCACTCTGCAGGTCCCAAAGGTTGCTCCTCTGTAGGACATCTGCCAAAGTCTGAGCAACTGGGGCTGCAGGACGAAAGCTACCAATAATCTAATTTAATTCCTTTGAAGGCAAATGTTCAAAGAGTTAGGACACACAGGTCCTGAGTAACCAGTAAAACGAAGCGATGAAAAGTCCAAGGGGAGGATACTGGGCCAAGTTCTAGTGTTGGTTACACAGTATAAATCCAAAATAAGTCCACAGACTTTGTTCCTCGTGTCATTAAATCCAAATACCTGAAACTATTTAGTACCTCTCATTTTTGAAGCTTATTTCTAGATGGATAAATTGACTTGCAGTCATTTGGACCTGATTCTGCTTTTACAGAGTCTGGTGTGTGAGATGGTGTGGAGATGCTCTTCCCTATTTCTAACACAGACAAGACTTGGAATCTGAGATTTTGCCTTTGTCCTCTGATTAACATCTCTCCACTCTTTCAGTTCACTCCGAATATTGTGCTGGCAGGAGAACGTCGCACCTTTCCCCTCCTCCCCTGAATTTCCTACCTTTTTCTCTGGTGATGCTGAGGCAGTACTCCGCACCCTGCACAGCTGCTCAAGTGGAAAAAGAAAAAAAAAAGGAAAAAAAAGAAAGAAACAAGCTGCAGAGGTTTAATATGAAACAGGCAGCGTGACCAAAAATACCACATTTATAGATTCATATCTTGAGCCTAATTCAAATCCATTGCAGAACAGCCCCCAAAGGGAAATGTACGTAAAAGACTCATCCAGGTTGGCTGCTGCACGTGCTGCTTTCCATGGTTTTCAGGCACTGATGCTCCCAAAGCATCATTTTGGGCATCCTCACACCTTCATCTCCTGACCACTGCTGCCAGGGACTGAGCCCAGCAGCACCGTGGGGACTCACCCTCAGCGTTTCAGCATGGAAAAATTCTCCTTCTGTTCCTCTTAAGCTCCTCTCTCCCAAACCATGGTCCTGAGAGCCTGTTAGAAGTGGTTAAAATAAAAAATAAAAATCTCTTTTTCCTGAGAACTGCTGATGTTTTGCCATTTGTTTCCATTACTAATTGGCTCAGGGGAAGTCAGAATATCATAACTTCTTGCAGCAAGACCATTTCCACAAAAATTATTTGATTTGGGAATATATATTTAATTTCAAAAAGATAAAAACATCTACCTTTGATGTTGCTCTGCTGCATTATATTATTAGATCATATTTGAAATAGCGAAGTCAAAACAAGCCATTTTACCTTATCAAGACTACAGGTTTCAATATTATGAAAATGAAACAATTGAGCACCATTGACATAGAACGAAAAAGTCACCTCAGAGCCTTTGGACTTTCCCACTGAAGTTTAACCAGCCTGGCCACGTTCCCACTGAATGTTTGGATTCCAAGAAAATCAGATCTGTTTGTTAGAGAAAAGGCAAGAATAATCCTCCCTCCCCTCTCCCTGCTACCTGCCCTCCCACGGATGGTGGGTTTGGGGTGAGCCTGGGCAGACCCCCAGAATAAGGACATGTAGGTGCCATGGGGCAGAGGTGGAGGAGTGGGGTGGGCCCTAGGGGTGATTTCTTCATGAGGAGCCTGTGCTTCATATGAAGGTTGGGAAGTCCTCCAAGAGGGAGGAGGTTCTTGAGAGCAGCAGAGGAAGAAATAAAGCTGGCAGGGTTTGGGGTTGTTTATCTGCTGATCAATACCCGAGGGTGATTCCCCGGTGAAGTCGAATAAACTGGCAAAAAAAAAAATAATGAATAGCAACTAAGTGATAACTTGTCAGAAAATGTAGAGGTGATCAAGAATGTTCTGCCCGAGCGCTTGTGCAATTAAAAATAGTTTTTATGAAACTGAAGTTTTTTCAGGGGAAGTTTGCAGAAATTTTTTGTACTAGCTGCTGGGGTAAAAACCATAATGGAAAGATTTGAGATTAAATCGAC